ACAATTTTGCCAATTGAATCAGACAAAATCTCGCACCTAAACATGTCTCAGAGACTATTAATTAAACTAAAACAACTGATATCCATTAACTTGTGTAATTAACACTTGTTAGTTTAATACAGTGTTTTATCAGTATAAAATTGTAATATTTATGCTAAAAAAATAAATTTATTAAATAGAGGTTATATATATGGAGCAATAATCTGACTAAAAGTGCATGACATTTTATTTTTTGAAGTACGACACGACAATTTTTGGCGTTGAAATGATGGCATGCTATTCAATCAAGCTAGCTACATGCTTGCATTGATTCAGAAGATAGCAAAATCTAGAAATTGATTGCATGTTAAATCATGAGGTTTTCTGGAGAACAAAGACACAAAATACGAAATACGATCATAGGTTGACGTAGTCGCTAACATATTTTAACTAAAAAAAATATGTGAGAATATATTATTCCTTTCATTTTTTTATTTATAGTCATTTAAGGTTTTCTATAGAACTTAAGAAAATAATTGATATTTTAGTTTTCAAAAATATTTATTATTTATTTTTATATTCTACCCTCTATTTTTTTATAGTATTTTGTTGGAAACATATTACCCTTTTAAATACAACATTAACTTTATTTAGGTGTTTAGAGAAAAAATAAATAAATATTAGAAATAAATAAACACATTATTCAATAAACATACATTAATTATTAAGAGTAAAAATAAAAAGAAGAAAAAATTAATAAATCATTGATTTTAGTAAAATGACAATGAAAAAAAAATGACAAATTACGACAAAATGTATATATAATTTCACCTCAACTAATTCAAGTAGAAAGTTTTTATTAGAAATTATAACAACATTTACTCTTGTATCCATGAGACAAGAAAGCAATTGTTTAATGAGGCGATGCCCATGATCTAATTTTGGACAAAGACAAGATGATAATAAAATGGCAATAGCCCACAGCGGTTTGGGCTTTACAAAGTGCATGAACCTACCCAGAAGGAGCCCACTACATGAAGACGTATGAATGTCATGTTCATGGGTGTGAAAGTGCAAAATAAGTACATCAGCATGTTAGATGTTTGTGGATTTATTAGCAGATGTTTCAACAATTTTTTTCATAAAAATTATTATTATTTTTTAAATAATATCATTAAATGTTTAAACTCACTCATAAGTGATTAAATTATTAAATTCATTACATGTGATTTAATTTACACATTATAATTTTAATTATTTTGATCTCTAAAAAAAAATTAAGCTTTATTGTTCGCAAATATTCAATAAGAATTTACTCCACCACTATATAATATTAATAAATAGGATGATGTGGCAATAATATAAATTCCTATTAAATATGTATAAAAAATTAAATTCTTATATATGTATAAAATAGAATATATATTTTAGATGAAAACATTTAATGATGTTGAGAGCAGTAATAAGCATTAAAATCAGAGACACCAAAAGTGAGACAGAAGATATGAGAAACATAATTGCATGAGCCACGACTCCCTTAACTTCATCTGCATACTCTGCTGAAGCCAGTGCCAAAGCCGTAAGAGGAAAAGAATAAGCTCACCATGCCACATTGAACTTCTTCATCGACCTTCTTAAATACCAGAGGCCTTCAAACCTGTTTGTTCAAAAAGTACACACAAAGGTAATCACTACTTTTATTTGTTTCTATATAGTCTAAGAAATAATTAAACCAAGATATCCATCCTATATTTATTCATAGCTACCTCTAAGTACATTAAACTATAAATGGCTAAAAAGATTCTGATTTTGTACAAGAGATTTTGGGTTTGACATTATCACCAAAGGAACCACAAAATAGAAATTCAAAAATCTAATTTTGAGCAAAACAATTAGATTTGTTCTTTTAAGAAAGCTATTAATAAGTCATCTAATATTAGTTGATTCAAGATTTTAAATTTAAATTTTGTGAATAAAAAAAGTAATTAAGAAGACGGATCTTATTAAAAATGATCAAATTAAATTTTTTAATAAAAATTAATCATCAATAATAATATAGATACTTTATAAATGATTTACAAAATAAAACTATTATATTATAATAGATTTCATCTTGAAATAAATTGACATTAAGTGAAAGAAATTAAATTAATTACCAGACACATGAAAAAGAAGATGATAGTCTGATCAATATTTATCTATTTTACCATGCATATCAATTTTGTAGAGTTGGTCCAAGTTTGGTAGGTCTTGTGGAATGTTTTATTGTAACCTAAATTGTCTCAATATCCTGTCGATTAGATGTCACTCTACAATTGTAAAACATATAAGAAATATCCTTGCACGGACAACAAGAGAAACCTTAAAATTAATTAAGCGGCGGTTTTCGATATGGCGTCCATAGAAACCATAAGAGGTCAATATAGTTTACAAATAAATACATAAATGATTAAAAAAATAAATAAAGTCAACCTCTTTTTGATTTAATCGATCAAATAAGATACTGATGGAAGAGTATGGACCAAAGGTCCAACCACTAGAGCTATGGCCAGGAGATTACATGAAGATTTGATTGCTTCAGAACTTGGTGGACGCAATGGGCTTTGTGGGCCTAGGGTACTCTTCACATGGGCTTTACAGTGACTACCATTATTATTGTTTCCAATATGTAGTATAGGCTTTACATTTTTGGTCTTGTATTTTGGACCATCTAGATTAGGGTTTTTAGGCCATAGGCTTAGTGGGCCTATTTTTGGGCTTTATGGGTCTTGAATATTTTGATACCCAATATTGGGCTCATTTTGTTCCTTTTATTATTTCCTATTGTTTGTATTTGATTGGTCATTGGATTTAGGCCATTAGAGTGTGAGTGTTGAAGAAATACTAAAATAGGTAAGTGAGGCTAAATCTATGTTTCATTTAGTAGTCATTTAAGATGAATTTGGGTCACATGTTTTAAGCCAAGTGTGACTGAATATGTGCACGCCCAAATCCATCCTAAATGATATTTAGATGCATGGAGGCTCCTAAGATCACGGCCATGCACATGGTGGCCGAGAATTTAAATTCAAATCTCATTTGAAATTCAAATTCTTGGCGCCAATTGTGTAGCTTGTGATTTACGCCACTCTTGCTAGCTTCTGGTCTTGTATATAGTTCATTCCTTCACATTTGTAATCACTTTTGCCATTTGAGAAATCTGAGTATACACTTCAAGCATTTTCTCTCCAAAAGTCACCGTTTTAGCTTAAGGAATCCTAAAGCTTCTAAGGGTAGCCGTGAGCACTCATTTGTGCTTCTAGCTTGAGTGCTTCCTTCTTAGTTTAGATTCACTCTAAACTTGTCTTCATAGCTAGTTCATCTTTCCGAATTCAAGATTGAAGGAAGAAGATTGTGTTAAAGGAGTAAGGCAAAGGAACATCAACTATCACTTCACCTCCTTCACTCCATCAGATACATATCAATTTTACTGCATATGTGGGAATTTAGTTTTTTCCATCGGACGAGACCACCTTAAATCATATGAAAACATTTATTATTGTTAATATATGATTTAAATAGAAAATTAGACATAAAATAAGACATACCTAAGCACAAGCGAAAATCTAAGTCTTTATTCAACATCCTCGTTTGAGAACTCTTTAATACGTGGAGCAATGCATATGATCCAATCCCACGCCCATGATTGCAAAAGTAACATGCATTTTCCAGTATCTATCTTCTTAGGTGATATTGTATGATCTAAAGAACGATATAATGAAGTCAATGTTGTTGAAACTCAATTGATTTCTAACAATTTTCAAGTCTTGTAATAATAACAAATACATCATATGAACTTTGATGTTGATTTATTTGGCATCAGAAATCCACCTATAAACATCATTATATGTGCTTTAACATGTTGTGCAATGACTACTTCATTGACATCATTGGATAGTTGTTGGAATTGAGAGTTAAGCCATGATAAATAAATGGTGTTGCCTTTAATGTGTTCTCTTGGTGGTATTACCCCAAGTAACATTTCACAAGCAGGAGCCAAATTACCATTGGTATAACTAGTGATAGGCTCGCCATCAATTGGGAGGCCAAGTTACAAAACCACATCTTCTAAAGTAATCGTTGTCTCTCCATGAGGAAAATGAAACATATGTATCTCAGTTCTTTAGCATTCTACTAAAGTTGTAACTAAATGATAATTTATCTCAAATTTTCCAATGGTAAGGACATGACCAAAACCATATTGATCAATTAACTATCTCACACAAGGATCTAATGTGGCTAGATTTTTGAAAGCCCATATAGCATGACGCCTTGGACAAATCAATCTGTCAAGTCCCTCCCATACTTTGGTTGAGATATGAGTATTTTGAAAACACAATAATGACCCACTGACTAGTCTAGGTTGAACATTTTCCATTTTCTTGAAATGAAGGTGTAGAAGTGATATGGAGTGAGTGAATGTGAAAGAAAGTGTAGAAATGAGAATATATTTGTTCAACACTAAAAGAGTGTATATGCAATCACTTCAACTTTAAGTTGTGAGTATATATGTATAATCGTGAGTGTGGAGAATATATTTGTAATATGTGCAAACATGAAAAGAGAATATGTGTGTGATTTGTGTGTAATTTACTTCAATATCTTTTAGTCAAAGCAATAATGTCAAAAAAGAAAAAAAACAATAATATACTACAAATAATATGTGAATAGTTTGTGCGTATGTATGTCATTTCATTCATATATATATGTACTACAAATAATAGTAAAGTAAAAACAATAATGTAGTGATCAAATTTGGTTCGTATGAGTATTGTTTAAGTTAATTAGTCTTTGCGGAAGAAAATAAAGTGTATAAAATTAGAGAAAATAATTATTCAACATAGGCATGTTAAGCTTACTTTATTTTGGTGAATTGTTAAACTTGCTTATATGACTGTATAAACTAGGCTAGTGTTTATCGTGTTAAGTTTAATCATGTGATTAATTAGGGTACCCGTTATTACCAAATTGAGTCCATGATATGATGCTTCATTCGAAACCCTGAATAAAATCAATTGTTGAAAAGAGGTTGACACACGTTTACGCCCATTTTACATATATTATTATTGAGACTTGAGAGACAATGAAGCATGAGGCACATGAGTTATTTAACATTCTTAATCTCCTCAAGTTTGTGATATGGTTAGAGTCAAACGAATGACGGAGTGTGTTGTGGGGGGATCATAAAACGCGGTCTGCAACGCAGCATAGCCCCTGGCAAAGCGAAACTTGCCAGTCCCAGACAGCACAGAAAGCTCTTTGTAACTCTCACGCTGACGACTAACGCCTTGGATCTCCAACGAGCTTCCACTGTACTGCGAATTCGTGAACACGATCGAAAGCACCACGTTCACGTTGTTCCCCTCGTGGTCCGAAGCCGTAAGCAGCCCTTGGGCCCGGCCCACTACTGTGGAGCCTGGGCTTGGGCTCATCATGACAGGGTCATCAACCACGAATATGGTCCCAAATGTGTTGTAGGACCAGTCCTTTCCCTTGATGCCAGTCACTGCAGCAACTGTCGCATTAGGCCCAGACGCATAGTCTTGTAGGTATAGCACCATCGTTGTTTGATTAGCCACAGGCTGAGGCAATTGCCCATAGCCTTCGTGCATGACTGATATCAAAAGCACTGAGAGGTACAACAATTTCATTGCTGATCTAAATGATTTTTTTGCTACAAAATGTTCATGGATTTGGTCTGCATAATTGCCTGCTATTTATATTCTTTTATCTTATGATTTTTTTTTTTAATTTTTTTGGTGTGACATGGATCACGTGAGTAGGAGCAACAAGATACAAATTAGAAACCGAAAGTGAAGGTTTCCTAGGGAAAAGAGAAGGGGTTTTACAGAAAAGTGGCAGTTTAAAAGGGAGGTTATTATTTATCATGATGGTGTCCAACGCGAATTGAGCTAGATTAATGATCATCCAATGTGGTCAACAAAAAACGGACGCAAAATGAGCGTTACAATAGGCTTTTTCCTCTTGCTGGGGGCATACAATTTCTTGAATACTTTTGTTTCATTCACTAACATGAGGAAAATCGTGTTTGGTTACTTAAGGCTATAAACGTGAGAAGACGAAGTAACATCACATGATATGTGCTTGAGCTTTCATGTGGAGGCAACGCATGATTGCCACGGGTGTGTATATCCTTGTATGCAAATGTACATGTTTGGAATGTCGTGTGAACTTAATCAAAGAGAGATTCTCTCATTCTAAAGTAGAAAAATAAGAAATATTAAGTAGTAACAACTTGTATCATTTAACTAAAATGTTCAATACTTATATTTTGGTTTGAAGTATGAAATAAATTATGTTGAGAGAAAAATATTCACATATTTTTAAAAATTTCATAAAATTCTCATATATATATATATATATATATAAATTTCTAATTCTTAATTAACTTGTGAGTTAATTCTTAACTTCACCTTTATATCATTTATATGTTATTATTCTCACTATATTATCACGTTTAATATTAACATCATTCATCAATCAAGTTAATACTTCACTGTCTCCATTACTTTCACCACCTATGTTATATCATTTTCATTCAAGTTTTTTTTATATATAAAATTTTCCAGTTTTCAAAGTTTTTTTAAAGACTTTATGGTGTTTATGGTAATATTTTATATTTAATATCAATATTTAAAATAAATACTTAAAATAATTTTTTTATGTACATGATGAAAAGTTATTTTATCCTAGCAAGGATTTTAATAATACAAAGAATTTAAATTAATTTATCTAAACAGATGATTTTGAAAACTGAAAGAATTTATTTGAAATAATTAATTTCTTAGTATTTTAAATTTCTTAAATTTCAAACTTCTCTATACAAATACTTCGTCAGAGAATTGGTACTAAATTAAAATAAGAGTAAATTATACTAACATTTCATAAGATTTTGTGAGAATACACACAATTTCTTGTTTTTTCTACTCTTTCACTAGCTCTTCAATTGTTTTAAAAATATTACAACAAAATTCTTTACCATTATACTAACTTCTTAAATTTTAAAAAAAATTACACTGTATGTCTTCTATTAAGGAAGTTATTGTAAATAAGTAGAGGTAATGTGAAAATTTACGACCTTAAAGAGTAGTATTAGTGTAATTTACTCTTAAAACAATTCACTATATAGCAAGTAGTTTTAAATGATGATAGAAAAATAAAAAAATAAAACTACACAATCAATCAAGGTGTTTATGTCAAGGTTGGATCTATATTCGGCGATGGAGAAGAGCTCGAAGTAAATCATAGGTCATTTTGTGCAATATTTTAAAAATACGTGTAATTATTAGGCTTCATTAATTTAAATTAAAAAAGGATTGTTTCATTTAAATTGAAGTAGTGCTAGTTAATTTCATTCAAATTCAAGTATATATTAACTATAATGATATGAGTTTTCATAAGTTTTTTTTTTTTAAATGATGCGACCCTTTTTAAATATATATTACAAAATAGTTATAGATATTAAAGGGATGAAAGTACTTCATGCCTCTAATAATTATATACGGATAAATATTAAAAATTGTAAAAGATATAAGAATTTTTTTTATTTTTTTACATTCAAGGATATAAAAGTCCATTAAAAAATGGAGACCAAAAGAATGATTACTAAAATGTATTCCTAGTATAATAGATATAGATGCAGTTTATTTTTTTTTGTAAATAATAATTTTTATTTAAATCAGTTAAATAAAATTACTAAATTATTCTATGCTAAAAGAAAGAAGTGTGCACTTATTATATAATACATTAAAAAATAAAAATACCTTAAAAATTGTATACGCGATTTGGTTTTTATATTCTTTTTAAACTTTTTAATCTCTTAACTAATTGCCTCAATTATTTTTTACTTTTTAAAGTTGACTATCCAATTTTTTTTCTTATTTTTTATAGCAAAGGCACGAAAATCTTATTTTTCATGAACTATATATAAAGGTAATAGCCTTTATAATATTAATAAATGCTCCTTTTAGGGTTTGAAATTTATCTATAATATTATTAAAGAGGATACATTGATATGATGTCCATATTCTTTTTTGAACTTTTTTACCCTCCTAACTAATTTACTTAATTATTTAATTTTTTTAAAATTATCTTAGCAAAATCTTTTTCTTCTTATTTTTTTATAGTAAAGATATGAAATGTCTTTTTTCACTAGTTATATATGAAGGTGATAACCTAATTTGATGTATATAATTTTTGGATAATTTTATTTTTATAACAACTTTCAATATAAAGGTGAAAATAACCTTGATTTAAATTTAAATTTTTACTCGTCTATAATTTGTCATGTTAAACTAACCACAATAAAAAATGATTACTTTTCCATCTTAATATTTTTTCTTTTTAAATTTTTGATTATCTTCTCATCTTTTATCATGATCCGATAAACTTTCTTTGTAAACAGGAGAAAAATAAAATTATTTTTTTTCAAAAATTAAAATTAACTTTTACTTTTACATAAATTAGTTTTAGATAAAATCTTATGTAGTAACTTCTCCAAAATATGATTTTTAACCTATGTATAAATTCTTTTAAACAAATTATGTAAAAATTAAGAAACTAATTTCATTTATCTATTTTATCTTTTTTTTTTCTATAAGTAGTATATATAGGGAAAAAATTTATCAATAAAAATTACCATAACAATAAAAAATTTTGAACAAAAAAATTAATAGATATATTTTATTTTTCTGTCATTTATTCTATTTTTGATAGACGATATATATATACCAAGCAAGATGATTGAAGCTAAGTGCATGCATTGGATAACAGGGAAAAGCAAAAAAACTGGAAGCAAAAGGATAAAGTGTGCATTCAAGTCCCATTTTCATAAATGATTATTGGTGGTTACTGGTTACGTATAAGCAAAAGCAACCCCTAGCCAAATGAGACTATTAGATTTGAAAGCTTTCTCAAGACAGTGATCTCAAATTTATAGTCAAGCGAATGACAGAGTGTGCAGTTTGAGGGTCATAAAACGCAGTCTCAAACACAGCATAGCCTCTGGCAAAGCGAAACCTGCCAGTCCCCGACACCACAGAGAGCTCTTTATAGCTTTCGCGTTGACGACTCACTCCTTGGATCTCCAACGTGCTTCCGCTGTACTGCAAGCTCGTGAACACAATCGAAATCACCGCATTCACATTCGCAGCGTCCTGGGCCGACACTGCCAGCACGCCCTGGGCCCGGCCCACCATAACCGAGACCGGGCTTGGGCCCAGCATCACGGGGTCGTCCATTGCGAATATGGTTCCGAATTCGTCGTAGGTCCAGTCCCTTCCGTTCAGGCCCGTCACTGCGCTAACGCTTGCGTTCGGCCCTGTTGCTGTGTCTTGGAGGTAGAACACCAACGTTGTTTCAATCGCTTGTTGACCATTAACTTCATAGAACATTGTTGTACTTGTGCATAAGGATATCATGAGCAATGTGAAGGACAAGAATTTGGTTGGTGCCATTTCAGAGGGGAAATTTTTATGAATTGATTTTGGTTTGTGAAATTGGATGGAATTTATAGCGCTAGGAGGCGGAATTTGCGTGTAAAGGAAGAGGTTTTGTGATTTGTTATGCGTTAAAGGATTTTTCTTCTCTTGTTTGTGTGTCATCTATCATGTGAGTGTGAGTTAAGGTTCTCTTTTTTCTCCTGCTATGCCACCATTTACAACTTGTCAATGCTTTGTTTTATTTATTCATTAACTTGAGGAACCCTGTTTGTTGAAGGTTTTAAACGTGATGAGACGAACTAACGTCTATCACATGAAATGTGTTTCACCTTTCTTCTGGCTGTAAAAAACATAATGATTGTTACAGGTATCAGCAAGACCCTGAGTACACCAGTAATTTGGACGTTATTATAAGTCGTTAAGAGCATCGGGAATCGGGTTATTTATAAGCAACTCCCTGTGCCACATCAGTGTCATGTCAGCCCTAACCCACTTTATGCGTTGCTTAAATTTTAGCAGAGTTATTTGTACAAGTAACTTTGCTAAAATTTAAGCAACCCATAAAATGAGTCAGGGCTGACATGGCACTGATGTGGCACAGGAAGTTGCTTATAAGCAACCTCATTACAGATACTCTAAGATCTTCTAAAAAAAATTTAAAAAAAAACGGCTGAATTAGGTAACACTTCTTCCGAGTCTTGATCTTGTATAATAAATTATTTACAAATGTTGTTTAAATAGACATAATTAAAAATCTAAAATAAGCACATTATTTGCTCTTTTCCCCCCAAATTAAGGACGTTCGGGCCCGTAAGAGAGGCAGTTTCTTGCAATGGTAGAATCTGAATATTTTAGTAGTAACATAAAGGAATTAAGTGTATATTTGGTTTGATGTTTGAAACTTGTGACCTAAGTAACTGATAAAAATATTGTGCCTACATATTATACAAATGAAATTTCTTATTGCATTGAGTGTGAAACACAAACAAATAATTTTTTTTTTAACTTTGATTCAACTGAACTTTCTAACCATGGACGACTACCGATTTCATAGGATATCATTTTGAAGTTTTTCGAATTCAGTTCTAGTGTAAATAAGTTTACTTTATCAATAACATGAGCTGCTGTATATTTACTTGATAAATTCTTTTACTAAAATAAAAACATCTTATTATTTGAGATTGAAGTATTAAACAAATATAAGAAAAGAATACCAATGTAAACATAACATTACGCAGATTAGTGCATTGTAGGCTCCTGTTCTCCTCGACTATCAATCTATCATTAATCTTAGGACCATAACATTTGTTGCACGCAAACCATGAATATAGTAGTAACTCAAAACTCTCGTAAGGCAATAAATATGTGTTCCTTTATTATCATCTTACCATAATGAACAATATGGTTATAGGCTGACTAAATCACCTATACGTGCATTAGCTAATAATATGTGAGCTGCTTAAAGTACAGCAAGTTCACTCAATCTGTCTTTAGATACTTGGTATTTACAAGCGTGACCTCATTAAGAAAACATCTGGCACTCAAACGGAGTTATAACAAAAGATAAAACTGTCTTTCTAGATATTTCATCATTCACGTGCTCTTTTTATTATCAGGGTCAAAGGCCTGCATCTGACTCCGCAGACTCTGATTGTCTTCCAAGAGGCGATCATACTCCATAAGGAACCCCTCAGATTGCTTTTTAAGAGCCTCTACTTCACTTTTCAAAGTCTTAGCCTGATCTCCTTTTGCCTCGCATTCAGATTCTAGTTTCTTAATTGTGGACTTCAATGTACCAATTTCTTCACTCAATGCTTTATGTTCCTCTGTATTGCCATTTTTACCATCTTCAAAACTTCGGCTTTGTTTCTTAATAGCTTCCATGGTCTTCCTCAGTAAACGAAGCTCTCTAATGTAATGGTGCAACCTATCAATCATCAGAGAGAGGAATAGCACAAACCCTGCACAAGTTATATGTGAAAGATCAAATTCCAGAACTAAAATATCCATGAACAAAAAAAGAGTAAAGTAAATAAAGAAGCATGCAACTCAACACTCATAACACGGATAACAGCTAAACCATCCCCAACAAAAGAGAGAGGGAGAGAGAGTCTACATATGGGGAATCTTGGAAATAGTTTTAAAGGAAGGGAAAGAAAATAAAATAATATTTAATCAGCAGGGGTAGAGATACACCCACTGATAACAAAGAGGGGGCAAATGCTGCCACTTCAATTATAGTGTTATCCAGTTATGCTGTTATTTAAGCTTCAATGTATTCAATTTTACCCCCATTTAATATTTAATTTTGTTCTTCTCATGTGAAAGAAGATATTTCCTCACTACCCAAAAATTTTAGTTCCGTCACTGTTATGCCAGAGGTTGTATCTATCATAAACAGATATGGGAATAGACAGATTAGATAAGTAATTCATAGAATTCAAGCCAGGTGAATGCATTGGAGAAAATGCTTCGTGAATTATTTGATTCAATGGTGCCTCTTGAACTCTAAAGGAAAATTTTAAGAAACGGCCATGAGACTAGCAATGTGTTACAGTACATGATGTTGGGTAATAAAGTACCAACAAGCACATAAAAGTGTACAAAAGTTGAAAATGTGCAGTAAATGAGTGAACATGTAAAAAAAGAAGAAATTAGGAATGAAAGTAGCAATAGGCACCTATTAAGGAAAAGATGATAGAGTGATGTGATTTTGAATGGACTTTCCACTCACCGCGAAGAATAATTGAAATTATTGGACTTGATAGATTGGTATCAATATCACAGAGTCTCACATAAGATGGCTTGGCAATATGATGAGGCGACAATTAGAAGCCCCAATAAGGAGCCCAATAAATAGAGGTACACAGAGATCAATGAAAAGTCAAGAAATTAAGGTTATGTTTGGATGAGTGATTAAGGAGGGAAAGCCAGAAAGGTTATAGTTAGCATTTCCCCTGTTCAGGAACCTTTTAAAAATCCTTTCCCATATTTGAGACAAAGGGGATGAAGTTCTTCAAAACCCTCCCTTACCTACTTCTGAGTTCCCACAATTTGGAGAGGTCATTTCCTTTATATTCCTTCCCCATTAATCTCTTTTGTTTTCTTTTACTTCCTAACTCCCAAACACACCCTGAAAGCTAGATCTAAATGACCTTTATCAAACATAATGGTGTCCTTTATCTGACTTACCAACTTAAGAAGAGGATATTGTTTGAAATACCAATGACAAGGGAACGAAAAAAAATGCCAAACAAAGCTAGCCATTGATTTGATGAAATGATCTTATAATATGCTTTCAACAAATGAAAAAGAATAGGGATACTCAATCTTATGATCTTATCATAGCATTATACAGCAAACAAATTGCCTATACAAGATTTATCAGAGCTCCAGATAACCATAGCGCTATCAGTCCATTATTTAGATTCATAGTTTGAGAGCCTTATCATGAGATAGATAAATAAGTTTGGCAACTAAACCTTATTGCAAGACACCCATGGAATTCAAAACCTTATAATCTAAAAGCTTGTGAGCAATCAATCAATCCACATCTATTTTAGCAATTAGGTGAGATAATTAACAACCTGTCATCGTTTTCTCTTCCCTTTCTTTGTTCTGATCTCTTCATAAAAATTATTTCCCATTTATTCTTGTTAATCCATGCCAACTTTTTACCTCTTAACATCCCACAATTCAAATAATCAACAGTCCACTACATTCAAAAGGTTCCTATGCACAACCGTTAAACATCCACTGCCACGTAAAATCATGAAAGATTATAATTGAAAAAGCCAATTGCCAAGTAGACAAAGATATTGCTCGCATCAAATACCCTTTGAAGCAATCAATTATACGGGGAAGCTCAAGCCTTAGACGTCCTTAACCACTCCCACCCAAAATAAAGTCCCATCACATGAAAGTTTGAAACAAGCCACCCAATATTGAATCATTGACGTCAACTGCTAAATCAAATACCAAGCAAGTAAAGCCCACGTTCACCATTCACGTGAGCCACACCGGCGTAGACAAACAAATAGCACTGAAGAAAACACTCCTATATATAAACAGCAATCAAAATTAACTATCTTTAGATTAAAAAATACGAAATTTGCTTAAAATTCATCTATCAAAGTGATCACAACAACATCAGCACAGAGCAAGTCACGACAGTAATCACTCACAATCACTCGATCCACAAATCAATCCTTAGCTAAGCACTGACTCCTACAAGGAATTCCCCTTTTTTCCACAATTACCAAAAACAAAAAAGTCAAACACTTGAACCTAAAGCAACAAGCATAGAAAAGGGGGGTTTGGGAGAAGAAGCGAAAAAAGGGATTTTGAGAGATACCCATGAGAGAAGCTTCGAGCATGTGCTTGGACATGAGGACTTGGTCGGTGGGGTTGACTATACCGGCCTCGAGGGTGCGTTGCTGGATCTTGGCCATGCTGTAGAGGCTGGAGGCGAGGACCACCACCAATGTGGCGCCGACGGTGGACACGACGACGGGGCCGCGACCGCGCTTCACGCGATCCAGGGAAACGATGACGAGTTTTCTGAGAGGGGTTTTGAAAACGAGGGTGAGAATGAGAAGCATTTCGGCGAAAATGGCAGTGTAAAGTAGCTGCAACATCTTTCTCTGAACTGAACTGAACTGAACGAGGAATCACAAATAGAAATAGAAATAGAAAATTATAAATAGAAGGCAAGAGAAGAGAAGAAATGAGAAGCTCGTCGGTTCGTTGGCTCGGTCAGGGTCTGCGCTGGTCCAATCAGATCAGGTCACAAGTCTTTGCAAAATTTGCTTCCAAAACTTTTCATTTCAACCTTTTATAATACTCGTGTTATTTTTTTTTTTTTTTTTTCCTTTT